GCAGGCGAGCCGGGCCCTGCTGCTCTTCATGGGCGTCACTTACCTCGTGTCGCCCTTCGGCGGCTGGCTGGCCGACGCGCTGCTCGGCAAGTTCGGCGCCATCCTGCTCAGCATGGCGCTCTACCTGCTCGGCATGCTGGCCTTCCCCGTGGTGGCCGCGCCACACACGCGACAGGGCCTCTGTGGGGACATCCCGCTGTCCCCCGTGGAGAACTGCTCCTCGCCGGTGGAGAACACCACGGCGCCGGCGCCCTGCTCGCCCCCGGGGGCCACCCGCTACTGCGCCGGTGCCACCTTCGTGGGACTGGTCCTCGTGGGGCTGGGCGTCGGGTCGGTCAAGGCCAACATCACCCCCTTTGGAGCCGACCAGGTCAAGTATCATGTGGTGGTTGCTGCTGTCCTGTGTGGGGGCAGAGCCAGCTGATGAGTGTCAGCCAAGCTCAGGGCTGGGTGGGCGCGTGGTCCGGCCTGGTGCAGTCCCCGGTGCTCTCCTAGGTGCTCGTCCCCTCGGCGTTGGGTGAAGTCCGATGTCTCGCTGGTTTCCCAGTTCTCCTGCCGGAGGTGCCGTGCCTGGTTTGGCCCAGGCCCTTGTAGTCTTGAGGAGTGGGGCCAAGCGCTTCATAGCCACTAGGTGCCTTGTTAAATATCCCCTGTTGTGGAGTTCGTAGCCAGGCAGTTGGATGTTGGAGCAGATTGGGTGAAATATCTGAGACATGCTTTAGTTTTGACAGGGACATTCTGGGCTGTGGTCAAAGGCCTTTACCATGAAGCTATAAGCGAAAGATAGATAACAAATGCTCTCTTAGCCTTAAGGTATTCTCTATATTCAGTGCTGTACTGTGAGTGATGCTTTTGTGCAGGCTGGTGCTGCTCTGGGTGACAGGAGCTCTCAGCATGGTAGATGCATCGTCACCTGGGCTGTTCATGCCCTGTCAAAGGGCCTTGTTCTAACCCGCTCCAGTGAGATCATCACTGGATCATCCCTGCAGAACCAAGCGATTTTTACAGAAGACATTTGACAGGCAGCTCATGACTTAGTATCACCTGGTACTCTTGCATGCGTTTTTTACAATCTTATGCTAAGCAAGACAGCGTGCTAGCAGTGTGTGTTGAATTGGAGTATAATTTTGGCTTTACAAATTTTTTTTTCAGATGCTTAGATACTGTGAAGCTCCCCTAAGCAAACAGTTCTTGGTGACAAGGCTGGGAAAATACCTCTAATCCAGTTACATGTCTATTTACTGGCCCATTGAGTTCTGGATAGCGCAGCTATCAGAAATGCCATGAAATTCTTTGCGAGAGGTATGGTGTGCCACAATGTCCTTGCCAAATGGGCCTCTATTCTCTCTTGTGCAGTTTACATTTGTCATTCTTTGGCATTTTGCATATTATAAATTCTGGAGTTCTGGGTGAAAGGCAGTACATAAATGTAAAACATTATTATAGCCTAGGATTGTATGTCCCCAGTGTATTGATTCTGTTTAAGCCAGCATGAGCCCATCAAGCAAAATAGCTTTAATATAACTCTGTCTTGTAAGGTGTTTTTCAAATGGACTGCTTGTCCCCAGAACATTTTATGAACACTAAATATCAGAGATAAATAATGGCAGAGGAGAGTAAAAGAAGAACCACTGCCAATGGAAGTGTAGCTGTTATAACTAGATATTTTTTTTAAGGCTTCCCCCCCAGGATTTCCTTGAAAGCAGTTTTTGGCTAAAATTGTAGATAATTCACACTGATTTATGTAGGGTGAAGCAGAAAAATTTTTCCTTTCTGGTTCTTAATAATCAGCAGTGCTCTGCTGAGGACTGGATTTTCTCCCTTTTCTGTTTTTCTGGCTTATCTATTGTTAAATATATTACAGCACTCTGTTTACCTTGCTGTGCACTTTTGGGCTCTCTTGGGTGGCTTCTCCCTGCATAGGAATGTAGTGCACTGCTGGGTAGGTGGATATATATTGCTGAGAATAAAGTCTGTCTTCCAGAGTTGCATTCTTGGGAGGCCAGCATTCAATAGAGCCGTGTTCTGGTTGGGTCGGTGCTGATAAGCTCTGTGCCTTAAATACCAAACAAAGGGAAATACTGTGAACTGTGGATCATGCACTTTAGCTGATGTGAACTGGCTTTCAGATGCTGTTAATTGCATGTCATGGCAAGTCTCTCTAAAAAATGTCATTTACATTTTCAATTTTAGCTGACAACTTATAATTTAGATGGGGAATCCAGATTTAAAGAGGATTTTTATATTTAGAAAAAAGGAATCCCTGTAACTGGAAAATTGGAAAGTAACTTCCAGTATTTTTTTTCTGAAGTTTAAAGAATGTGTTTTTATTACTGTTAAATAGACACATTTAGAAATACTGTTACAAATGACTTAGTACTGAATAACCTTTGACAGTCAGTTCAGCAAAAACTAACTGTTGCAAACTAGTTATGAGCATAATTAAGTAAAGCTAGTTTATAAGTAAGAGTTGTTTTTCTAAAAGCTGCAAATTGATCCAACATGCTGATCTAAATCTGAACCTGCCGGTTCTCAGAATAGTGTTTATAAGCATGTGATACATATATATAACCTGGCACTTTCCAGTTCCCCTTTTAAGTGCAAGGCTTCACAGTCATTTCCTGTTCTCCTATGTAGCAGTTTGTGACTTTCCACAGTTGGGACACAATATGACTTTCTCTCCTTATTGTGAAAGCTGGTTTAGCTTCAACATTGTAGCCAAGGTTGGACCCAGTAGTGGTAGATTACTGATCTAGTACGGGCTCTAACCATTGCTCTAATTATAGACAAAGCTGTGGCGCTTTATATATAGTTAAGATAGTGATTAGAGATGCTAGTTTTAACCATAGTGCTTGTCCTGTCTAAAATGCTATCGTAGTCATTAAAGCTATCAGTCTGTAGCTGCAAAAACTCTTCTTACTCTGATGAAAATGTTGGGTTTGCGGTAGCATTAATACACTGTACTCTTACACTTCTGGTTGTATAAAATTGCACAGTTGATTGTGATAAATTTGGGGGTGTCTTTGTTTTCATTTGTCATTTGTGACTTGTCAGTGAATTGCAGGCATAAATGAAAACTAGCCAGATATAACTTTTTAAAATCTTTTTCCTTTCATATGAATTAAAACAGGAGATCAGATGTTTGGGTCTGGCACAACATGGAGAGAGAGAGAGAGAGAAGGGGGTTTTGCTCTGAGACTGTGTAATCAGAGAGCTATGAAATTACTTTGTGACAAAGCAACGCATCTAAACACATATGTTATGGAGAAACAATGATGTTTGTATAGGTTACTCGCTCTTTACATATAAGCCTGGAAATCTTTCTAAGAGAACCTTAATATTTGAAATTTTATTTGGTGTCAAGCTGTTAAGACTGCCTAGGTCAGTATTTGAATCATCTCCTAGGAAAGACACTTCTGTTCAAAAATCTGGGGGAGCAGTAATTCAGCAAGGAATTTGTCTGGGTGTTAATTTCAAGGGTAGCTGTGCTTTGGAGTTGTATTGATCAGATGTTTTTAGCTAGTGTAACTGAAGACCAAGTTATTCCTTCTTTTTCTTTGTTTACCTGCATTTAGACAATTACAGTTGTAAAGAAGACAACTGCTTTAGACTATTGTAATGCAGAGTTTCACAGCTGATGCATCCTCTGCTGAAAGTAGTTGTAAATGACCTAATGGTTACACAATTTCCATAATGTAGCGTTCCTGGCTTTCGGGATTCCTTGGCATGAAAACTGGATAGTAATTGCATCTCATCAGACCATAATCAGTCTGGTGTAAGACTTATATATATGAAACGTGAGTTTTGAGGCTGCTTCCTTTAATATGTGGAACTCTATTGCTTTTTAGTTACCCATTATGATAACCATTATTAAAAAAAAAAAAGTTTTTTTTCCTTTGCTTTTGGATTAACTGTACTCTTTGTACATACAAGATAGTTACTATATGATCAAGAAAAGACCCCTTTGTACTGCAGAAGAAATAGGGTCTAGGTTAGATTTAAAAAAAAGAAAGAAAAACAAAAAAGGAAGTCATGTCAGATGTCTTTAAAATACCCAGGTTGTTTTTATTTCCTCATTAGAAGGCTGTCCTGGCACCTGCATGCTCTGAGCAATAGCATCTGGATCATGCTGCTGTGACCAGAACACTAGGAGTTCCACATTTTCTTTTGCTTTTGTTCAAATTTGCCATATTATTTGAAAGAAGAAAATCAAGAGTAATTGTGATTGCGCCTGTTCAGGGAAATAGGACTCACAGGTATACTAAGGAAAATACAGAATAACCTATTTAGTAGGGGAAACGTGTGAAAAGTTTGGGGGATACACAGGGACGGGTTGGAGATTCAGGGCTGGACACTATACCCTGAGAGTTGAATGCCCTGCTAATATCCTGCTGCCATTTGGGTTGAAACACTGCTGAAAATGTGCATGACAGCTATTAAGATAAGGAAGGAGTACAAAATTTAAACTTAGAAGGGAGAATCCCTTGGTTTTAGGCTTTGAGTTTGTAATTGATATGCTAACAGACTTGAATGCCTGACAATGCTGCTAACTGTGCATTCAAATAGATGCTCTAATATTTCTTTTGTTAAGCTTGATTAAATAATACAGAAGGGTTTGGGCATCAACTGAGAAACCTGAAATCGGAAAATCAGAACTGACTGTCAAGCATGTATTTCAAGACATAACATGCTTTCTAAATTACAAAGTACCCCTGGCTCTTTTGAAGGTCTAGCAAATGAGGAAGGGAAACTTGTAACTAGAAATCAAAAAACAGCTGATTCAGCAAGACTGGGACACGCTACTGATTCACTGGTCACTGTTAATGGATGTTCAGTCATAAAACGGTGACAAATAGTGTGTTATGGATTCTTCTGCAGACGACTTGATCCTCTTTATGTATTTCAAATTTTAGCTTGCATAATTTCTCTTACATCATGTATTATGAGGTATAACTTGTGAGTTACACCAAGTTTCTGTGTCTTAATTACAAAACATAGGGTGATTTATAGTAGGCAATATAGAATGTGAAGCCAGTGCAGGACAAATTCTATAAACCAGTGATGTCTTTGGTTTGCCTGGAGAGACACTGAGATAGAGTTCAAGGAGGACAAAAAGCATTATAAATGGTGCAGATTCGATAGAAGGGCAGATGTTTACTGGGGGCTTGTGATATCCCGGGCAACCTGAATTTAATTTCTATTTTATTATGAAGGTCAGAAGGGCAAGTCTTCAATTTATGTTCTGATGAGAGCAACTGGAACTGTGTTAAAACTTAATTTTGAAGTGTGCACTTTAATCTCAGATAGTCATTTGAGACTTAGAAAAACTGTTACATGCATTAATTTGGAAGAAATGATTTTTGCAATGCTAGTGGTGCTTTTTTTCTTTTTGATAATTCAACTTTTCTATTTAAAGAAAAATGCTTTTTTTCTTTTTGATAACTGTTTTTCTTTAAATAGAAAAGTTGAATTATTTCAACTTCTGTATGTATTTGTGGGACAGTGTGAACCAAACGAGACAAGAGTACAGCAGAAATAGTAACTGCTTTTCTGTGGCAACTGAAAGTTTAAACTGAAGTTCAATCTTGAATAACTTTTCAGATGCTGAAGATCTAGAAGGTCATTGATGTAATGGGGAAGCTCGGTACAGTGTCATATCATCAAATACTGTGCTAAGCCCAAAACACTTAAATTGTTTTAGTATGACTGTAAATTAAACCCAGGCTCTTCCATGCATTGTAGTTGGGTGAATTCTAATAAACATTTTATTCAGAAATTGAAGGACTTCTTTTAATCTTTTTCAGGTCAAAGATCGGGGTCCAGAAGCCACAAGAAGATTTTTTAATTGGTTTTATTGGAGCATTAACTTGGGAGCTATTCTGTCTCTGGGAGGCATTGCATACATTCAGCAGAACGTGAGCTTTGTTATTGGATATAGCATCCCAACAATTTGCATTGGGATTTCGTTCATGGTTTTCTTATGTGGTCAGAGTTTCTTCATCACAAAACCACCTGACGGTAGCGCCTTCACAGACATGTTTAAAATTCTTGCATATTCTTGTTGCTCAAGAAAGAGACATGTGGAGCGATCAACTAATAGGTTTGTAAAGAGCTCTTTTATATAGTCTGAATTCCAGCCTAAGAATTGAAACTAGTTTGTCCAAACTAGCTGGCAGTAAGTCGCTCTAGAGAATACAGTAGAAAATGCAATTTTGCTTTGAGAACTGGAACTTTGCAATGGGAGACGCATTCTGGGAGTTCTGGGGTGAAAACGAGAAACATTCAGAGATCACTGGATCTCTATGCTGCAAAATCAAGGGTGCTGTTTTCACATGAATGCTATGTCCTGCTAGCCCAGAATCGCTGGAAATAAAACATCACCTAAATGTGCTGTTTTTAATCATTAGTCAACCTTCTTCTGGGCTTAGGTGCTTTTTTTAAAACCTCCTGATTTTAAAAACACTATCATCTGTCTTTAATGCTTGAAGAAGCCTGATGGGCCACTGAAATGGGCCACTGCTGCTTCCCTCCCAGCTCCCTACCCTCCCTACCCCAAGAGATGCCCATGGAATACTGGTGGCTGTGGATGACAGGAGTTGTCAAGTGCCTCCTTTCCTGTGGGATTTTGTGTATTCAGACTGCAAAACAATTTGATCACTTGGAATAACCAATCTTTTGTGACACTGTTTCTCAGTTTTGTATATAAGGGTGCTTAATTTTCCATATGTGAGGAAGGGGAGGATTAGAATTAAGGAAACCTTTATAATGAAACATTTCAGTTTATGCTCTAACCCACAGCTGATCCATTTGGACCTAGTTATTTATATTTAGTTATATTTATAAGTAATATAAATTACTTATTTATATTTGTACAATATATATCTTTAGAAATGCACAAGTTTTTCTTAACAAAAAAAAAAAGGTGTTAGAATGTTGTCATTTAGGTCAATTTTTGTTGCCATTTGACTAAATGTTTCAAACTTTTTCAAAAGCGAAGGCCAGGGAGTACTTCAGCAGCCTCGCAAGCAAAGCTTGTTTGAGATGGCCAAGTTGTCTCGTGGAGGCCCATTCAGAGAAGATAAAGTAGAAGATGTGAAAGCTCTTGTCAAGATTATCCCTGTCTTTTTAGCTTTGATACCTTACTGGACAGTGTATTTCCAAGTGAGTAATTCCAAATGTCTAACTTTTTCTTTTATGTGTCTCAAAATAGAATTTCAAACATAGGGGCCATAACTTCATGTTCTCCTCACTGCATTTGGAAGGGCTAGGGCACTCTCATTAAGCTGTAGTTCTGAGCCTAGCTTGTAAATCTCAGCCTTTCTTGAAAATTACCCCGCAGAGCAGTAACCCAGAGGAAACACTTGAAAGCTTTCTGGAGGGAAGTGTTCTGTAAAGTTACAGTTTGCATTCAGTACCTGTGATCGTAGAGAAGATGGGTATTGAACAAGACTTTTCAGCGCTCCATTACTGACATTTTCACTTCTTAAATAACCATGTGGTCAATAAAGTTAATGCCTTTCCTTTCACACACCCGAGGCTGCATCTCAACGATCACTTTAATAATATTATGTTGGGAAAAATAGTACTGAGTAATGGTAACTTCGTTCATTCCTTAGATACAGTAGTTGGGGAAAGCTGCAGCTTTAGTAGCAGTAGGTCAGCAGTATGTGTAAGGTATCTAGTGGCACGTTTTTCTGTGTCTCATAAATGAAGCTTGCCCTGAAGCTGAGAGATGAAAAATGGTTACTAAGAATACTTACAAGAAAAATCAATATTTTGACTTGATGATTAAATTAATGAAGGAAAATAACTAAAAATAAATTAAATTAGCTGTTAGTTAAAACTAACAGTTGTGCAAATTAAGATATCTTAAATGTTATGCTCTGTTTAATCTTCAGATAGGTCAGTGTAAGTGGCCTAGATTTCATCTTAATTAATTCTTTTCCAGTTCCTTTATCTTAGAATAGCAATTATTTTAGGGGGAAAAAAGAAATCCAGAAATTATGCTTAAAGTCACATGACTGATTCCTTGTTCTTTTAATAAAGATAAACATAGGATTAAAAAAAGCCTGTAATGTTCTAGCAATTATTCTTTTGTTTTGAAGTAGTAGTACTTCACCTTTGGCGTAATATTTGCTAATTACTGACTAGTCTGAGTAATGTCAACTCATCTTTCTTAATGCAGATGCAGACAACTTATGTATTGCAAAGTCTTCATCTGAAAATTCCTGAAATATCAAATGATACCAACTCTACTCATACAGTAAGTAGAGCAAAACACTTAAAAACATGGAGGGGTTGTTTGTTTGTTTTGTTAATTGGAATAAAAAGTAACTAAGGGTTTTCCAAAAAAGTGGAGAGTCAAGATGGTAGTTAAGGGGAGTCAAGGGCTACAGACACAAATAACTGGGTGTTTGGAAGAATAGGACATAAAACAGATTTTGGCTGGTATAAAGAGATTACACCATTGTGTTTTCAGTGTATTCAGGTAACATTTCCTGTCTTAATTAAGGGTGTCTTTGTTCTTCAATGCATGAAATATGATCTTTGAAGGAACCTTTTAAAGTTGTTATGTGCTAAGTTTGCAAAGTTGTATTTACATGTATTTGGATTTTCCTACTGAATTTGTAGGACTCATCTATTCTTAATGGAAAAACTATCATCTCCAAAATTGGAGTTACCTATTCATAAGTGGAATCATTAGTATTTCCAAAACTGCAATTTGAATTATATTTTTGACTTCATACTAATTAATCAATAATCACACTACCTCAAGTCAGTTTTGCACGTTGAAGAAAGTTGCTCAGTCGTTGTCTTTTAAAGAAGGCTGGCATCATGTAGTTGTAAAATTGGTTCTGAAAAATAGAAAGAAAAATTATGAGTCTATATTGCTAGCAGGCTTACTAAATGTGCATTTAAAATTAAATTTCTTCTCTTTTATTTAAAATTAATAATATCAATAAGGTAGAATTGCTCCTTTTTACAGATGAAAGAATAAAAAATGCTTGTACTTAATTTCTTTTGAGCTTACCCAAAGAGCTGTTTCTAAATTGCAGCTAACAGTTTAATGGATATTAAAAATACTGTCTAAATAAGCCTGCTAAACCAGCATGTTATCTGGCAAATGTAGTCTGAGATTCCTTCAGTAAAATGTGTGCCATCAACACTAGTAGCTAAAGCAAATTTTCTCCACTTTTCTTAGTTTAGGCATGTAATTTACGTAGCTTTTGGGCACTGAAAACTATTGCCACTTCAGGGTTCATTTTCATGTTGCTTAAGTCATATCCTAATTTAAAAATAGATTTTTTTAAAAGGAAAACAGCTGGACAGAGGCTTCTCTTTTTGTTGCATTTATTTTAGGCTTGGACTTCACGTGAGGTGTTTCTTTAGCATATACTTAATTTTCACTTTAATAAAGGTCACTACATTTATGTTTTTTACTCCTTGATGTGTAACCCTTTTTGCTCTTTCCATTATTATAACCTTTCATATTTCTTTTTTGTCTCCTCATGGGAGAGGCCTCATGGGAATTTTTCTGATATTATAAGTCACTTAAATGGCTTGTTAGAGCCTTATCACTGAATTGAAGAAGTGAATTTTCTGTTTTCTAGGAAAGTACACATAAGACTTCATAGAAATAGTCTGTGAAACTGATGAGAAGGTGATCAATATAAGTCAGCATTTTCTGGAAACCTAAACATAGAAGCTGCATAATATGAATTAATATGCTTAAAATCTTTTGTACAAATCTCTACGTTGATGATCTTAAATATATCCCATAGTTTCTGTCCGAGTATTTACTATGTAGAAATAAATATAGAACTTCAGCCGTCAGACTGAGCTTTTCTGACACCTTCTCAGTAGTTGAATTACAGGTTTTCACCTGTAAGCAGAGCATTATATGTAACTGAATTGTTTCCATTAAGTAGTGGCTTTGAAAGTTAGCTTTAACTGAAAATGCTTTAAAGTAGCACTAATGCTATATCACCACTTTTTTTCTAACTTAAAAGTGTGGCTTGAAAGATTAGTTCAGCTGCATTTAGAGTTTACTTAAATTATACAGAATTTGAAGCCAGGGTAATGGAACAATAATCCTAGCATCTGATTTGATACTTTTAAATAATCATATTTTTCATCATGCATAATCATGACTGTCTCTTTTTTTCTGCATTGCATCAGTTCTGCTGTTCTTATTTTGAAATAACTTTGCTCTCATCTCAAAGCATTAACAACAAAAATCAAATAGTTCAATTTTTATCATCTTTATTGGTATGTGGCGCACCTGAAGAATTCTTAAGTTGCATCCCTATATGATGTAAATAATATCTTTTAAAGCAATTCTAAGTACTTTGTTTTCTCAAATTTAAATAATCTGAGGTAATTAAGGAAAGAAACAGTAATCTTCATTTTTGCTTAAAGAACATTGTGCTTTATCAGGGCTAGGTTTTTCTTAAACTCTTCATGTATTTCTACATAATACTAAAAAAGACATATTTCCTCCTGATATGAAGGAGGTGCACCTCAAAGGTGGGAGTATGGAATCCTGTTGGAGTTACTATGGTGAGGAATTGGAGATAACATATATGAATTGCCAAAGTAAACGGAAACCTGCATATCTGAGTGCTTGTTTTTCTTCAGCTCTCACGTGCTCTTATTTTACTCAGTTTCTAATGTCCATCACTTCAGCTTGTTTTGAATCTCAGTATTCCATGAAAAGTACTGCATTTTTTTCTTAGTTAAAGAAGAGTAGAAATCAACCTTTAAGTATGAAATCACTAACTTAATTCATCTATCCTTTCAGTTTCCAGCTGCCTGGTTGACTATGTTTGATGCAGTGCTTATTCTGATCCTAATACCCTTAAAAGATAAATTGGTAGACCCTGTTTTAAAGAGGAATGGCTTGCTGCCATCCTCACTGAAGAGGATTGCAGTTGGAATGTTCTTTGTGATGTGTTCTGCATTTGCTGCAGGTAAGAAAACAACATCTACTTGCATAGCTATGCTACTTGCAGTAGCTTGGGAAAGTGTGTCCTTTTTTTTAAGTCTTTAATTGAGGATTATTCAAGAGACATTTGCAAGGAGTTTTTTAAATGCAGCAGCATAGATGCATTCCCCACGATGAAAGAGCTTTTACACAAAATGTTAAGCTTTTTTGACTCTTCTAGTGATAAAACTGGAGCATATTTTCTGCCTGATAAGAGTGTGACTACACTTTTAAAAATAAACTTGCTAGTTAATATTTTCAGGGCAGAGGGTTTACATTTGCACACACACAACTGCTGCCTTTATTTTTTTTGTATGCATGATATAGAGGAATTATTTGTTTTCTGGCCATGTTTTTCCAACCTAGACCTTAGCTTTACTGATCAGTGCTTGGGTTGCTGGAACAAAGTGTCTAGCAGGTGCATGTGAAGCCTTTAGTCTTCATAAAATGAAATTTATTGTAATGCAGAGGTCTGTGTTGTCTGATTTATTGACTGTTTATCTGGAAATAGATTTTTTTTTTGTCCTGAAAAACAATGATCAGAAATAAGTATATACTATAGTATATAGTATATACTCTATATATAGTATATATAAGTATATATAAGTATATACTAAGTATATATATATAGTCTGACTTCTAAATATTAACGAAGTAAAATTCTACTTAAAATCTTTTCCCTATATGTGAAGTAATAAAGTTGGGTTAATGCCCAACCAAATTTCCCCCCACTTTGTGGGTTCCCCCCTCCCACCTTAATGTTCTCTAATGTTTGGAAATTATCGTAGTGTAAAATAGCTTAGCTCTAGCATGAAAGGAAAAAGATGGCATCTCTGTTCAAACCATAAATCAGGTGCATTTGAGAGGATTTAAAGTTGTTGAGCGCTGCTGATGTGGAACTGAACATCTCTGGGCAATGCTTCATAGAACCTATAGCCTTCACATACCATCACTGTAATGAACATATTGATAAAGCATGATAGCATTATATAAATTAATTTCAGCACTTGTAATCTCCTATATTTTAGAGAGAGGGACATTTTATTGAGCTATTAAGATTTCTCTCAACGAGAGAGATAATTACCTTATTAGGCCAAGGTCACTTTGTGTGTGGGCAAGTAAAGTTCTTACAGCAAAGTCACTGAAACTTAAAATAGGAATGTTTCTGTTATTCCATGTTACTTAGGAAAACTGCAACCAGCACAGGAAGATAATTTAAAACATTTAAATGTCAGCTCTTTAGATAGATCTTCCTGGCTCAGTCTAAAAGTAAATTCATAACCAGCAATATATATCTATATTGATACTGAAAAAAAACATGTTGAACTATGACTATGAACATGTTGACTGACTTGGGGAGTGATTTCATATAGCAGAATTCTTTAAAATTTCTAATTTTTTTTAACAGTTCACCTACAAATGTGATGCATGATTTTGTTGGTTAAATCCTTGCCAACTCTTTCACAGTAGACCCTGTGAACACCAGTTCTTTGGTCTTTAAAAATATTGTTTGCTATCTGGCTGTGAAGTTTAACCTGTTAGAATAGCATAATGTAACATTCATTATAATATGAATTTGAGA